ATGAGCAAGGAAGAAGTATTCCGTTTATGGAAACATAGACACGACTTGTATTTAGCTAGAGCTAAGGTAATAAGAGAGAGGAATAAAGCTACAAATAAAAGAAATCAGGATAAGAAAATTAAATTAAACAAAACGTGTTTAAAGTCAATGATGGAGTTCAAATGCATAACGATAATAAAGGAAATAAGTTGGATTCCGAATGGTTGGGACCTTATATTATCGATGAAATAAAAAGTCTTTATTACATCTGTAAAGCTATTAAGAGAATATTTATTCAAATGCATGGTAATAGGTTAAAAATATTTAAAACTTGACTTCAGATGAATAAGCTCATATTATTGGCAACGCTAACACTAGTGATAGGCGAAGACATTGAACTTACAAATCTAGAAGATAAGAATTTACTTATACAGAAAGTTTTCCTTTATCATAACGAAGTAAAGTTAATAGTAGGAGTAGATACGAGCATTACTTAACAAGCAATAAAAAAAGTAATTGGCCGATTATACAAACTAAATCGACTATGTGAAAGTAATTGTAGAGAGTCTCCGGAAATTAACGTGTTAAAAGTTATAATAAATACATTAGAGAATAAATATGTACATTATAAGAACGTGATGCATCTAAGAGTAAAGACAGGACTGTTTAATTTTGTAGGAAGTATTTCTAAGACCTTATTTGACACATTAGACGATAGCGACCTAGAATTAATCAATCAAAACATAGACAAACTTTTCCACCTAAACAACAAAATTATACAGGTAATAAGGAATCAAATACTAATGATCAAAACTCTTGAAACTCTCGATCGGAGAAGAATAAGTATTTGGAAAAATTATAGGAGGACAGTATTTTGCATTCAATGTAATTAGTTTAGAGTCACTCATATATGAAATTATTGAAGTAGATACAAGTAGATACCACAATAACTGCGATACTTATAGAAAAACAAGGAATAATTCACCCGGATATCCTAATTAATGAGCAACTTTTATTGGCTTATACAAAATTAATAAAGGAAAGTAACACAGACAATGCCATAGAACCAATGGAAGAAAACGTTCAACTGATTTATGATATTAGCGATAAAAATTAACCTTAAAGGATCTATAGGAAAATAGCTTATGTAATACATATACCGATTCTAGAAACTACAGAGTGGAAATTACGAAAATACTATCCGATACCTAAAAAAACCGGCACAATATTCAGCGTAATTAACATACCAGAAACACTAACCCTTCAAACAATATACGAATACATTGGAATAGATCAAGAATATTTATATTAACATTGTAAATTAGGCAAGTTAATCCCTATATGTAAACGACAGGATGTCGTCCAGACACACCAATTCTCAACGCGAACACTTGCGAAGCCGAAATAATTAGAATAAGAACCTTAGCATAACGACTGTGAACGAGTACATTTCAAATTTGAATCAATTACTTACATTTCGCTTACTACATCCAAAAAGTATATTGTAGTATCGCGACAGGAAACCACGCTTGTCATAAATTGTAAAACACATCTTATAAAAACAATTAGTTCAGCACATTTGATAGAAGCCAACACCGATTGCATAATACAAACACAGTTCAAATTCTACTGAATTAGTCCAGGAAAATCAAATTTAACATTGGAAACGAAATTAATCAATGTAAATGTAAACATGTGGGAAGAACAAATACCATTGTTGCAAGAACATTTGAAAAAAATACCAATTTTATTAAAAAACTTAAAAGAATACTCAAAAACG